TTGTAGTTAACTTAACCTATACTGTATGCCTCCTATATTAATATCTCTCCCCCATTCTTGGCTTCTAGCATTTAAAATATAATATAATATTAAAATATAATATAACAATTATTGTCTGCTCCTTCCTTTTGACATTACCAGGAGTTTATTTCCTAAACTTTCTTAACACTTAAATCCTGTTAGCCAACAAGAAAATGACGCTTGTCTTTGTTGACAGTAGTGAGATTCTGGGCCTAATGGAGATGTTGGAAGAAAAAACCTGCCTAAGAACATAAAGCCTATTCTGTGGTGTCATGAAGTTGCTTATCGTGCTGGACAACAGCAATACTATGGATTCAGAAGACAATGGATTCCAGTATTGGGACATTGTTTGTAAAGATAGAGGCACACTTGCAGACAGTCTGTATTGAATAAACTCATAGGCCAGCAAGCAAACTGACTTTAAGACATGGATAGCATTGACTGTTTAAAGACATTGACATCGATAAACCAATCACTTTCTTGACATTCTTTTTGCATGCTTTTCATACCATCACAAAAGCAAAGTTTAAAAAAATGTTTGAGGTAGAAAAATGTTATGACCGACCTAATTGTTTTATTTAGTGACAATTCTTTTCCTCCTAGTATTTTTGGAAAATAACATTGTCTTAGTTCATTTTGTATTGTTTTTAGAATAAGCAAAGAGAAAAAGTAAAAAAATTTCAAGATAAAGTGCACACACAGTCTTTGTACATTATGCAGTTTTGCATCTCAGGTGCTTTAAAAAAAAAAAAAAAATTGTTATAACTGGAAAACGAGAGTGGTTCTGCTTGTCTGTCTGTCTTGAGTCTCTCTCTGTGTACCTTTATTCCACACTGACTCAATGCAGACAGCTGTGAGAGTATCGAAGGGGGGAAAAGAAAACTAACAGTGTCTTTTGGACAGAAGAGATTCAGTCTGCTGACCACATTGATTTTTGCAGGAATGGAATCGCATTTAGCTAATCCAATTAGAGCATTCTCAGGGTCCCTATTTCCCCTTTGTTTTGCGGTTACTCACTATCTATTGATCTAAATGGGGCTCCCTACTGGCCCTACTGTGAGAGTCTGTAGCCGACTGCTCCCTGCTGATCCAAGATCAGTGATTTTAGCACTGTTATGGTCTGTTGCTGAGCTTGCAGTCTGATTGCTGCAATTTCAGCTGGATCATAACTGTCTGATGCTGGATGAATCTTCCCTATAGATTTAGGTAGTATACGTACGCATGTATGTATTTATGTATTTTTTTATTTAAACTCTTTTTTTCAAAAGTAAAGTGCAAATTTGATTAAATGGAAATGCAAGTATTGGACTTTTTCTACCCTAGATAATTTTTTGTAATATTGTAATAGTCTATCTTATTACTTAAGGATTTGCGCTTACAGGTAAAGTTCCGATTTTAGCATATAGAAATACAATGAATTATTGATATTTTTAACAGACCACTTGAAAATGGATTTGCATTAAGTTGTAGATTTGGCAACCAGACACCCTGCTCACACAAAGCTCGCCGTCACATTATGAAACCTGCACTGTATTCTTAGATGAATTGTAGCTTTTTCCATATCCCATGTCTAAAGAGCTGACCGGATTTAAATTAGATCAGATTAAAACTGATGTCTGGCCCACCCGGTGGCATACACACTACATTTCAAAACCACATTTCTATAGTTACCCCCTTTCCAGAGTAACTTTATCTCCATGTACCGAATGCCGGTTATAGTAAGGTAAGTAATGCTTTTCACATGACGTAATACTTTATTGGTACGATATGCATTGTAGCAGGCTGCCAGACAATGAGGTGCTTTAGTGTACATATGAAGATTTTTTTAAAACATTTTAGCTGCATATGGTATACTTACTGATTCTTGAAGATAGTACCTAACAGGATAATATGGGGCCTCATGTGCAGCTTTTTAAACCCTTAGTGGTTTACATGAGTTTAACTTTAATTTTTCAAATCCTTAAATGCCTCACAGGCCTTCCAGATAAGTTTGGCTATTTATACCATGCTTATCCAGCCACAAAGGAGGGTGATGTTTTTCTGAAAATACAGCGTGTGAATTTAATAGCGAAATGTTAAATGCTGAATTGAGCCCAAACTAGTGATCTTGCTATTCCAAAGAAGAGAGTCAAGAGAGAAAGAAAACCAGCTATGCATTTTAAAGCTGTCCGTTCCGAGCAAACAGCCATGGATTACCAGTCAGACAACATGGAAGATTAATGGCCAGGCTTGTAGCAGGCTAATTTAGAACAATAACGGCCAATTAATTACGTATAATAAGGCTTTCTTGCCTAAATGCAAATGCTGGCATTGGTGTGGAAGCTGCAAGTTGTTTCTCGTTTCCCCAGTGGTGTGTTTGACTTTCTGTCTGTTGTGTTCTGTTGATAAATTGAGGTGTGTTTGTTTTGGTGTGTTCAGACTTCTGCTGTATTTCTGCAGATGCTGTGCACTGTCTGCTGCTAATTGCAGTCCTAAACACACATGACCATCTCTCTTTTCAGAGTGTTTTTTCTACTGGCCTAGTCAGGCTAGTATTTCAGATTTTTACCTGCCCTATTGACATTTTTACTGGCCTTAAGGGCAGAAAAAAACAAACAAAAATTATGTCACATTTTTAATTAAGTGCTAGAACCAGAATTTTTTTATATATAAAAAAATTAACATTTCTTTAAAGGAGAAATGTATAACAAATAACATATTGAAAGATAAATACCATTGAAAGGTAAATATTTTTTATAAGGTTTATAATTTGCAGTAATAAATATTCATAACCTTTAATGTTTATCAACAAACAGTACATGACACATGGTGTAGGGCCTCCTTCTGCGGCCAATAGAGATTTAATTTGTCTTGGTAATGACAGGTACAAGTCCTGCACAGTGGCCAGAGAGATTTTGAGCCATTCTTCTTCCAGAACAGTGGCCATGATGGTAGTTGAAAACTCATGGTTATAGTTAGTTTCGAGTTGACAAAACCAAACCAGTCCAATCAGTCTTTGTTGCTACCATGACGCTGATCATCAACTTTCTTTGTCAACTCAGGCTTTGATCTTGAGTTTAGGATTTTAGTTGTGGCATCAGTAGTGAACAGCCAATCACATGCTGTGGAACAGTGAAACTGAGCAGCGTGATTTCTCTCTTCTGCAGAATATTGCGAGATTGAAAAATATTAAGAATTTAAACAAATTTACAATGCAAGAAGAAAAGGGCTGTCTATGAAAGAGGACAACTAAAATATATTTTATTTTTGCTATATCAGTGCAAATAAAAGTTATGAAGTTAGTCTAAATAGTTGAAATGGTTATAGAGAGAATTGAGAATAGAAGACTACAGCTCACATGTAGTCATTTTTTTATAACTTTATCTATTGATTCTAAAGATTATTTATATTGCCTTTTATATATTTGTATTCATTTAAACTAAGTGCTTAATAACAATTGATCAGCTAAAATTGTACATGTGTACAATAGGGTATAATTACATAATTTCTAAATCATACAAAATTATTGTTATAAATAAGCATTGCTATAATCCAGACGATTTAAAAAAAAAATTTGCTATGTAGTGATAATGTAGTTTAATTCAGGTGCATTATTGCATCAGACATGTGACTTTGCTCACAGCTGATTGGTTAAATTTTTGTTTGAGATCTCTTACCTGGAACATAACCTGTTACTATGGTGATGAACACTTCTAAAAGCCAAACCACTTTCATGGTGCTTAAAGCAAATTTACCGCAAACTAATCTGAAACATACCTGGCTCGCCACTTAAACCGGCTTCATGGTATAGACCCAGGTCACCAAATCAGATTTTCTCCTCCAAAATACCCCAAAGTGCCTCAAAAATATTTAGATCTGGTGACTCTGTAGGCCATGGGAGATGTTCAACTTTGACTGTCACAATTCTTGCTGTGTGTATTGGTGCATTATCATGCTGATACATGGCACCCCCTTCAGGGTACTGTGTTTGAACCATTAGGTGCACATGGTCCTCCAGAATGGTTCGGTAGTCCTTGGCAGTGACGTGCCCATCAAGCACGGTTTGGGCTGCAGTATCATGCCATTCCATACTATCACTGATCCACCCCCGTGCTTCTCTCTGGGGAATAACAGTCCGGGTGTTAAGCCTCTTTGGGGCTTCTCCACACCGTAACTCCCACGGATGTGTGGAAAGACAGTAAAGGTGGACAATCATCAGAGTTATGTTTCACATTGTCCACAGTCCAAGATTTGCACTGTAGGCACCAATGAAACTGACATTTGGCATCGGCATTAGTGACCTAAGGTTTGGCTATAGCATCTCAACCATGAATATTGACCCTCTGGAGCTCCCGACGAACAGTTTTGGAGGAAACAGGAGAGTAAAGGTGCACATTTAATTCTGCAGTGAGTTGGGCAGCTGTGGTTTTATGCTTTTTGGATACAATCTGGGATAGTACCTGGACATCCCTTTCAGACAGCTTCCGCTTGTGTCAACAGTTACTCCTGTTAGATGTGGTCAGCGAGACGCACACCAACAATTTGTCCTCATTTGAACTCTTGATATGTCTCCCGTTATGTTGTGTGGATTGAAAATACTAACATGTCTAAGACTTTTGCAGAGTACTATAAATATACGTGAAACCTCCAACACTATACTGGCCAGTTTTTTAGTTGCATTGTCCAACCACTGTAATGTTATATTATATTATATTATATTATATTATATTATATTATATTATATTATATTGTCTGAATCTGAATGGTCAATTCTGAATGGAGAGGTAAATATTAATTGATGATAATAAATGAAAAAAATAGTTACATCGTAAGGTATAGATTTAAACAGACAAGACAGTGAATTTAAACATCTAAACTTCTTGATTGCTTGATCTTCTAAAGTTCTTGATTGCCTTTAATTTATATTTAGTTTGTCCTGATGACAATATTCTGTCTGCTGCTCTGCATAATTAACATTCCTCCCAACACTCTTTCGTCAGGTCACCTTTGAGCAACACAAAGATAATCTGGCCCGCATGTTTCTTGAGTACCAGCGTTTGGGTTCTGAGGGAGGATCTGAAAACAGAATCAGAACAATCTCTGGTGCCAGTCACGATTCTCAGTTCCTTGCCTCGGCCAATGGTGAGCTGAATGCAGAGGAGACCGCTCCATCAACTGTAATTGAGCTACGCGTGGAGGAGCAGGTCAACGATCAGCCTAGAGATGATGAGGAGATGCGGACCCAGATCCCTGTCACAGTGTCCAACATTCTGGCCAGAGATGAGGAAGAGAGACAGGCAGACACTGTTGCCACCTCACTAGAGACAGATGAAGGGAATAAAGATGAACAGGACACTCTGAGAGAACCAGGAAAGGATACTGAAATGAAAAATATGGAAGACAATCATAAAATGGAGGCTAACATGGATGGAGAGTCTGAGACATCAGATCTGAGTGCACAGACTGCAAATGACAAGGACGCCAAAGATGAAACTGAAACTGTGAAGATGTCAAATGAAGATGATAGTAAAACAAGCAATACTGAAACTGAACTAAATACTCAAGTAGAAGATAAAGATAAAGGACTTGAGGATTCTTCTCCTGATGCTTTAAAGGAAGCCAAAGTGGAAGAAATCACAGATGCTTCTTCTGAGGTTTCAGCCTACCAGGAGGCTTGCATGACTGGGACCTCAGTCATGAATGAAGATAGCCCTGATGTTTCCTCCGTCAGCAACTTCATTAAGGTCAGTGATGACAGCACAGAGGAGTCGTCATTTGTTTCAGCTACTGCTGGTGAGACGGATGACCATGGTGTTGAAAAGGAAACCGAAACCGAAAAAGATGAGAAGCCAGTGGAAAATGAGAAGGCAGAGGAAACCAAGAATACACCGGCTGCCATGGTGGAGGTTGATTTAAACCAAAGCACCTCCACCGATGAGACCAAGCCTCATACAGAGATTACAGAGAGTCATGGTGCTGTTGATGCAGAACAAGCTGCAGAAGTACGTCCTTCAGATGTAGCCGACACATCTACGGCAGAGGTTAGCCCTAGCGCTGAAAGTATTTCACAGGATCCTGGAACTAACCAAGACACTCTGAAGTCAGCAGGGACTGAGAGTTCAGCAACTAAAACCAAAGAGATTAAAATTGCCAGACTGGATGTGTCGAGTGTGGCCTCAGACACGGAGAGACTAGAGCTTAAGCACACCTCAACTACAGTAAGTTTTGCAATATTAAAAACAGAGGAACTTGACCCAGGTTGATGCTTACAGTAATTCACTAAATTTATTGATTAAATAATATATTGAGATTCTTGTTGGGGCAACAAAATGACTATTTCATTTTGGTCATATAAAACAAATGTTAGAATAAAAAATGGCTCTTTTGCAGAACCTGAGCTCAGATCAAGCAGCTGCCACAAGTCCCACAGGTCAGGGCAATGAGGGCTCGTCTTCTGCACGGTCCACCATGTTCCGTATCCCAGAGTTCAAGTGGTCTCATATGCACCAGCGTCTTCTAACCGACCTGCTGTTCTCCATCGAGACAGATGTGCAGATGTGGAGAAGGTGAGAGGAACACCAAGAACCAAAGATCAAATAGGCAAAGGAATAAAATATCTGTATCTGTTTATAGATATATGAAAAATATTGGTATAGATTATTGATAAAAAAAAAGAAGGTAAGGTACGGTACGGTCATATTTAATCTAGTGATCCACACGATTAGGAATTTCATGTGTGGGCAAAAGATTTCCACACACAGATTTCACATTGGTTTCAGGTTGGTGACATGAATTCATGCTTTGACCAACAGAACTTAATATATGCTTCATACATTGACAGTAGACAATGGAGCTTTTTTTCCTGTGAAGTTTTGCTGAAATTTCACCAATGTTGACAGCACTTTAAGGGGTGACTAGAAATCACTGTTTGTGCTATTCGACAGTTGCTGTTTATAGACATTAAGTTAACCTGGAACATTGAATTACAATATCATGCTCTTATTTTCGGCGACTTTGAGCTTGTGAAAGGTGCTTTTTGAATAAAACTTTTGTGTACATTTTTATCTGTCATCATTAAGTCAAATATGGTATTGTTTGTAATTACCCTTCTGCTGCCTCAGTAGCAAGTTGTTGCATAACTGATTTTCTCACTTCTCCCCACAGTCATTCGACTAAGACAGTTATGGACTTTGTGAACAGCAGTGAGAATGTGGTATTTGTGCACAACACCATCCATCTCGTTTCTCAGGTGGTGGACAACCTCATCATGGCCTGCGGAGGAATCCTTCCTCTGCTGTCTGCAGCCACCTCCTCTTCGGTTAGTATGTGTGTGTGTCTCAGAACCCCGCCTACACCCGAAGCGAGCGGTATATTGCTTTGCGTCAAAAGCAAATTGAACCAATTATAATCAGTGATACTGTCTATATTGGAAACTTTGGCCCAACTCCACATGTTAAGTTGCACACAGTAACCTCATGCTTTTCCGGTGTGGCGTGGTCACGTCCATTGTACTCCCGATTTAACATTCTTTCCTTGCCTCAACTTATTTCAGTCACACTAAAAACAGCTAGAATGTTAGGATAATCAAGTTAGTCCACCGTACCTGTCTGACTTCTTGCTTTATTTGTTGGACATCAGTTTGACAATTTTCAAGCCTGCATGGAATCTGCACTGTAGAAGTCAGCAGAAAGCACAGCAGAATTCTGCTGTGTTCCACCTGCCATTCATGAAATTCTGCATTCCCTGCCCTTTCTCTATTGCTTTATTTAATATTTGACTAATCTGAGTAACCTTTTCACACCATGACAAATATTCGGTGCAATAAACATTTTAATTTGAATGAATGGCTGTTAATGTGTCTGTTCAGACTATCTCAGACATTTGCATGCAGTCCATGTGACAGATTTAATTTTTTACAGAGGTGTTCTAATCTCTTCTATCGCACTGCAAAAAAGATGGACAACCAATAAGATTCACACTTTTGGTCACATGGGCAAATCCGCTGCTAAAAAAATCACGCTCATAAACTGTACTTAACAAACGGCTGTAAACATGTAAATACTGTTTGACTTTCCTTCTCTGTTTCAAGCAGCTGTCAGAAACAGAAAGTTGCACAGCGCTTTGTAGTCTGGAGTGACTGGGGTATTTCTGCTGTTTTTTATGCAATGGTAAACGGACAAATCACATGTGAAAATCTGACCTAATTTCTGCAGATTTTGCCTCACAATCAACATCAAAGTAAACGTCTGAGAGAACCATTAACGCATGGCGTGACACAGTGTACATACAAATGAACACAGATCTCTTTAGATAGAAGAGAGTGTGCTGACACTTCTTATTGTTTATCATTTATATTACTTTAATGATGGTGAGTAATTTGATTACAATAGCTGTAATTATGAAATGTAAAGGTGATGATAAAGGTGACCATCAGTGCATTATAGAGATCTGATTGAAGATAGTGCTGATGATGAAGGCTGCAGTTACAGAAATGATGATGATGATGATGGTTACACTGTCTTGCAGCATGAGTTGGAGAATATCGAGCCATCTCACGGTTTGGCTGTGGAGGCATCACTGATGTTCTTGCAGAGGCTGATCAGTCTCGTGGACGTGCTTATCTTCGCCAGTTCACTCAACTTCACTGAAATCGAAGCAGAGAAGAACATGTCTTCTGGAGGAATCCTAAGACAATGCCTACGTTTGGGTAAATCTCTTATTTCGGACTTTTTCTTTAGTGGTGTTTGCTAAAGCCAGAAGTATACTTCATTTGTCTGTGTTCTGCTCTAGCTCGCAGACAGTCTGTGTGACGTAATTTTCGTCATCAGCACAATCCACTGATGTCTGCACACATTGTCCACATTGTCTGCACGGACAGAAGCGCATGTACAAGTTATTTGAGCGCTTGAAAAGAAAGCTCCAATTGGTAGTGTGCACACGCCGTGTGTGTGCATCCCCACTCGCCGTCAATGGAGTATACTTTGAAATGCTTGCACATTAGGAGTGGAGACGGAGGAAACACAGAAAACAAAGTATATGTTTTATATTAAGGCTTATTAGCTATTGCACATAATTGTGGTTAGGGACTTGAACAATCAGTAAACTTTGCCATGTAACCCGCCCTGCACTGTTTGTTCTACAGACACATATTTGTTCAAGTTGTGTGGCTTGTTGTGGGGAGGTGTGCTATTACTTTTACAATTGGAGACAGTTGAACATGCCCCAAAGACTTAAATTGAAGGTGGGACCCGAGACATACATAGGTATATGTATAGGGACTTGAATCAGCAAGTAATCATAACATTCTGAAATATCAAATTCTATGTGTCTTTCTAGCTGTTTCTCATTTTCTCTACACTACTTTTCAAAAGTTTGGGGTCAGTAAGATTTATAAAGGAAAAAAACATACTTTTATTTAGCAAGGACACATGAAATTAATCAAAGGTGACAATTTATAATATTACAAAAATATCACAGTTTTCAACACTGATAATAAAAAGAAATGTTACTTGAACCAAATCAGCATATTATAAAAATTTCCGAAGGATCGTGTGACTCTAAAGACTGGAGTAATGGCTGCTGAAAATGTAGTTTTTAACTATAAAATAAATTACATTTTAAATGATATTAAAATATCTGATCTCTTTTCTTGTTCTGCTCACTCATGTTTGTTGTTCCTCCTTTTTCATCCCTCCAATATTTTGAAATAATGTCCTGCTTTTATTATTTAATTTCTCAACCTGTTCTCTTTCACGCTCTCAGCCCCTTTTCAGTTTTTTTTTTTCCTTTACTCTTCTCTTAAAATCACCCTCACTGGTTCATGGTAAATCGACTTGCGATTGATTTTAATAGAGTTTGATGTTAGTATGTTGATAAGCTAAACATCTGGAGCAGCTCACTAGGTTTTAGTGCACAGCCCTTTTTGCTCATTGAATTCTCTCTATTGGTTCATTTGGAGTAGAGGTAATAACGGTTTTTACCTTCCATCCCCACCCGTCTGTGTGAGTTCTCTGATAGTGTTATTATAAGCTCTCCACACTGCAGTGCTCTAAAATGGCCATTGACTCTAATGGCTGTTTAGTAGCCTGAGGCACCTCCTTCTTTATGTGTCTATGTATCACAAACTGTACTGCACCGTTATAGACCACATAACAGAAATCCAGCCGTTCAGATTGATTACATTATTCATATCTCTCTCTCTCTCTCTCTCTCTCTCTCTCTCTCTCTCTCTCTCTCTCTCTCTCTCTCTCTCTCTCTCTCTCTCTCTCTCTCTCTCTCTCTCTCTCTCTCTCTCTCTCTCTCTCTCTCTCTCTCTCTCTCTCTCTCTCTCTCTCTCACATCGGCTCTCTCTCCCATCTAACCCCGAAACCCACTGAACAAAATGGCCGGTGTCTTAAATCGACTCAACACTGTGCTGCAAAGGCAGGGTGGAGCTTCCTGATTGGTGGAGTGAGAGAGAAACCGAAGCCTGTTTTTAGGAGGGCTAAAGTATAAAATGAATATTTGATGAGGTCTGCCTGTGTGTAATCAGATTTGGGATCTGTAACAAGGTTTTGCCCGCCATCTCTCCTTCTATAGCTCTCTTTCTCTCTTTCGCTTGCTCTTTTGTTCAAATGACTAGAACGTTAATGGAAAAAGCTGGTTGGTTCCAGCGCTGGAATAATACCTTTAATCTAAGCGTTTTGGAGTTTACATTTGTCAGTTGTCAAGGTATGAGAGGACAGAGGGTTGAATAGAGTCATGCACAGTCACGCACACACATTGTGCAGTACAAACTCAAACTCATGTGCAGTACATTAAAACGAAAACACACGCATACACCATACTGATCTTACATATAGCATGCAATAAATCAAATTAAATGCAGTAAGAGGATTTTTCTGCACCATGGTGGTGGGAAGCCGGCCAAAATGATTAAACAGAATAGGCAATGTCATCTGTTTTGCAAACCTCTTACAGTTTAACGTGTTTTTCTTTTTTAACTCTACACGACTGTTATGTCTTGGAGAAGAATTATTAATATGTTTTGTTTTTGTATCATTGTTGGTTTATTTTTAGTGTTGCTTGTTAAGTAGGGATGCATGATGTATTGGTATCATATTAGTTACCAGCCAATATTAGAGATATTTTAATTTATCTGTATAAGTAAATATTGGTTATATATTGGCCAGTATTTAATATATAATTGTGCATGTTCATTTAGATTACCTTTGCCATTATCTTACACTCTTTGAAAACACTAATAAAAAAACACTAATTTAATAATTTAATAAGACTCTTAAAACCCTCTGGGGACCAGAGTGTTTTTGGGGCCCTTGGGATGTTTTGACATGCACTGACATTTGTGCTTTTTTCAGTTATTTATAAACATGTTAATGGCAAAGGTGTAAATTCACTCTATATAGCACAAACTTGGCATCCATGATATCTGAGCAACATGTATGTACATGTTTGTATTTTTAATAGAATAATGTTTATGCGTGGTTATTGAAAAAAATAAAAATAAAAGTTGCTGAAATAAGACCACAAAACACATATTGATTATTTATTCACAAGACTTTTGAAAATTGTATCACATAGCCTAGAATATTTGCTCCAAAACTATGTGAGAATCATCCTGACTACTCATTCAGATAAGTCAATAAAGTCTTTTACATTTTTAATGGCGTGTTTTGTTTGAGAAAGCTTTATGCAGGAGGCTTGATCTCTCATTAATATGTATGGCATTCCACACCTGAGAAAGACAAAGACCCTCCCATAATGGCCCTATTAGGTGCTATCAGGCCATATCATTACAGGAGCCTTGCACAAAGAATGAGGAGATTTAAAAAAGAATGGCTTTTAGATTGTTTGGATTTATATAAGGAAAATACAGGGTGCATACGTCTGGACACTTCTATCACACACCCTTCACCATATAGACATTATTTCAGTTCAAAGTTAGAGTTGGAAACATCTTGAAAAGAAAATTGTCTTTCTCCATAAATGTCTTAGTTTGATCATACATATTTCAAAGTTGAGGATTCATTATTTTGATATAGCTTGAACAAACACTATAACATCTTAGTTGATTAGTTTATTGACAAAACATAGGCCTACTATATATTTAACATATGAGCAGAAACTCCTAAAAAAGCTTATTTGATGTCTATTTTAGAGTAAAAACTTTATCCAAAACGAGAAATGTTGTCTGTTATTTAGTCTGTAACAGTGCGTATCTGTGCGTTCATTCATTCATTCATTCATTCACACACACACACACACACGATTCACATTTAACAGTATGCTATTTTTCCGTTTACAGACACTACGTTATTCTATATCGCGATTAGAACAAAGCACTTGCATAAAACACTTACTTCTCAGCTGAATCTGTTCATCCTCGCAGTGAAAATAAATCCAGTGGTAAGTGTCCCAGGATTGTTCCTCATATAGCCGCGCAAGACGACAGTAGATTAATCTGACTAAAAAATAATGTGTGTTTTCAGAGTTTATGGGCGTTAACGCGTCTCAATGTTTTGCTTCACATATTTGCGTTTGAATAGCGCGTGCTCTCCGTGGGCGTGTCACATTACCAGGGATAATCAGCTGAGAGAACGATAATGAGACGGGCTGACACGTCTCTCTTTTTATATAGATGACATAAACGGAGAATAATAATTTTAGTTTTGAATCGGATCATTTAAAAGTACAAACTCAAATGATTTAAAAGATATATTGCTTATGGCTGGGTGAATAGTTTTAGCTGAGTTGTGTTGAAGATTAGAGACGTGCTCCAGAAAAAAAGTTCACGGTGACCGAGAGGCAGAACGCACACCCTGTTTATTTTCTTTATTTTACAAAAGCACAATATTTTATTTCGATTGTATGTGGGCACATAAAAAAAGTAGACATTTAACAGATTATTTTCTCATATTTCTTAACTCTATATGAACAGAAATGATGGTAGTACTTTAAGTCTATTTTTCTGCTATGTGAAAAAAAACGAGCAAAACGCGCCCGCGCGTTTCTGGTCCCCAGAGGGTTAAATGTAATCTGTAATTAAAAATAAATATCTATTATTCATTATATATATATATTAGTGTTTTACTTCTAGTCTATTTAGACAAAATAGTTATAATAAAATTATACATTTTAATACCGGCAATTTATCAATTGTCATCCATACTTGAAAGTAATTATTGTTTATCGGTATATTAAATAATTTTAATATCGATGCATCTTTATTGCTAAGGGAAACATCACTTTTATGCTCCTATACGTTTTTGAACAAACCCCTCAATGTTTACTAGCATTCAAAAGTTTAGGGTTGTTACAGTTTTTGAAAGTTTCTTATGCTCACTTATGCATTTATTTGACCAAAAATACAGACAAAAGTTGTAATATTATGAAATATTATTACAATTTAAAATAACTGTTTCTATTTTAATTTGATATATTTTAAATGTAATTTATTACTGATGGCAAAGCAGAATTTTCAGCAGCCATTAATCCAGTCGTCAGTGTCATATGATCCTTCTGAAATCATTCTAACATGTTGATTACCTATGTTAAAAACAGTTATGCTGCTTAATATATATTTGTGAAAACTGTAATGCAATTTTTCAGGATTTCATGACAAATAGAAAGTTTGAAAAAGTAGCATTTATTTAAAATATTTTTTATTGTCACTTTTGATCAATTATTTGTGTCCTTGCTGAATCGAAGTTTTAATTTCTTAAGAAAAAAAAAAAGATCTTGCTGACCCAAACCTTTGAACACTAGTGTCGTTTATCTCATCCTACACCATTTGTGCTGCAGACATGCATGATACCTAAAATCATGCAGCTTGTTCAGGAGAGGTGTGCCATTACTTTTCTAAGCGATCAGATTTACGACGATTCTCCAGGTGGACGTTAAAACATCCCTTAGACTTGCACATTAAAGGAGGAACCCGAGCCATATCTAGCATCTAAAATATCATAGAGACGAGCTTTTTTGACTCTGACAGTAAGCAACCTTCTTTCAACCACCATGCGACTCCCTAGAAACCATCCAGAACACCCAAGCTACTACGTAGCAACACACAAAACACTGTTAGCTTCTTAGAAATATACATATTTCTTCGTTTACTTATGGCTCTAGTTTTCAGTTGTTCACTCATAAGGTGGTATTTTAAGGCCCTTTTCATTGTCATGCTATGACCTTCTTATATGTCATGTTTCTTTTAGTCTATATATATTTTAATTCTGGTACCCTTTCATCTCTATGAGGTTGCCTTTTTCCCTGTATTTCTACCTCTCAGTTGCCGCTCTCTCACAGTCTCTCTCTGTCTGTCCCTCTCTCATACACTCTTTCTCCATCTCAGTGTGTGCGATGGCTGTGAGAAACTGTCTGGAATGTCAGCAGCACACTCTGGGTAAGTCTGGTGCAGAGAGCAGCCGTGGACAGCAAAGCCTTCTGGGAGCCGGCAAGTCTATACCAGCACAGGCAAGTTCAACATCATGCCAAGGATACCTCTTTCTCTCTCTCTACTGTCCAGATGGTAATTTTAAATAGGTTTGATTCTTACAGTTCCAGTAAAAAAAAAAAAAAAAAAACTACACTCCACACTCACAGCTCATCTATTATTTAGAATCTTTCCAAAACTGTGGCATTAATTCCCCTGTGCATCAGCGCTGTCTAAATGTGGAACAACAAAACAAGACTCCCTATTTTTATAAAATCCAACTGATATAAAATATTAGAGCAGTGGGAAAATGTATTTGTGCTGAGCTGACAGTAGGGCTGGGTATCGAGTTTGATACTTTTTAGGCACCGACCGAATTACCTCGATACCATCGAGTATCAAACAAAATGTCTCGTCATTCGGTACCAAATTTCGATACCTGAGGGGTTAATCTTGTCAACGTCAGTGAAACACTAAGCATGCAGCATGGGCCATTCATTGACTATCATCACATCACAGAAGGTCTTGACGGCAACCCGTCAAAATAAAAGTTTGGTTTAACTTAAAGAAACTGCAATAGAAATATATTACTCTTGTACAGTATAATGTTATAATTTTAACAGTAAACCTCTGTTGTGTAGCACTTGTTTGCCAACAAATTAAAGAGCTTGTTTAATTTTAATAAAAGTTAAATTAATGTTTTATGCCTTCATTTGATTACCAGAAAATAAATAAATAAAATACACGCAAAAAAAAAAAAAAAAAAAAAAAAAAAACATTTCATAGGGCCCTATTATTGTATACAAATTAAAAAATTAAGTTGTTTTTATGAATTCAATTAATTAGATATGTTTTTCATTAAACCATTAAATCGGAATATAGAAAAAAATAAACAGAAAGCACATAACTGGGTAAAAATAAAATTTAAAAAAAAAAAAAAAAAAAAATGAAATTTTTGTTTAACCGCTAATAAATTGCTGTTAAATTGAACACGTTTCATGATTTAAATTAATTAAATATTAAACTAGGCATCTTGTAAAGTGTGCTTATCCTTAAGGTTAGCTGCATTAACAGTTTACAGTTAAGTTCTTGTTTTTTTCCCTCTTCACATTAATGTTACAGCATCTGCTATAACATTATCGTTTAGAAACCGGTATCGAAGTCATGGTATCGAACATTTTTTAACAATACCCAGCTCTAGCCGACAGACTGAATGAGACTGTGTGAACTGAGTTTGTGTGTGTTGCAGAGTCCTGTGGACATTGTGACTGGAGGGATGTCTCCTATCAGTGATTTAGACCGTCTTCTGCAGGACATGGACATCAATCGTCTCCGTGCTGTTGTGTTCAGAGACATAGTGAGTCTCTTCACTCAATACTTAAATTCAACATCTCTTCCATTCAGCTAATGCTTTAATGCTAATGCTTTCATGCATTGCTAGTTTAGCTAATTTATAAAGTATTCCAAATTAATTGTAAATTGTTTTGCTGTGTGCTGTGCTTTAGGAGGACAGTAAACAGGCTCAGTTCTTGGCCCTAGCAGTGGTCTACTTCATCTCTGTACTCATGGTATCCAAATATCGAGATATACTGGAGCCACACAATGACAAAAGAAACGCCCAGCGCTCACAGTCTATCAGGAGCACAGGTGACCACCTGAACCCACACACATCACTGCTGCAAGATTAAACCCAGAGAACCTACAGAACAGATGCACATGTATTCTGTGTTTTGAGGAGTGGACTAGTGTGTTTTTATTTTTTATTTCAGAGAGTGTTCAGTCTGATCTCGAGAACGGTTTGTCTCCTCATCGTCGAGACTCTAGCATTGAGGGTGAGAAGACTTCAGCCATCCCCAGTGATGCTGAGACACGAACCGGCCCGGACGCTGTATCTGAAGCCTTGTCTACTTTGTCCTCTGAAGTCAGGAGAGGCTCTGAGGTCACTAATAGAGACAGCAAAGGAAAAAACGTCAATGTCAAGGATATTTTGAGAAGTCTCGTTAGCTCACCCTCTGGCGACATCATGGTGGACCCCAGCCTTATACCGCCTGGGTTTCTGGCTGCAGTGGGTGATGCCTCCCGTGACCCGTCCGTCCAGTTCCACTCCTTTGACAGGTGAGTGGCTATCAGAATGAATGTTCACTGGCCAATCTGTGCACACTGATGTAAATGCTTTGCTATTGGCACAAAAGCTTCTACCCCTGTGTACTTTATTTTTTTATTTTATATCTTCTGTTCTTTGTCCACACATTTTGTTCTGTAAAAAAAAAAAAACTCTCAGAGTGTTTTCTCTTTTCTCTCAGAGTGTGCTATGGCAGCGTTCTGTGTGTATTTTATGATGGACACCCTCACAGAGTGTCTGACTTCTGCTGTGAAAGTGTGCCGTTTTACACACAAACAAACAGCCTTACAAGAGCAGAGCCCATCAAAACGGGCCTCAGGAGACGCATACACATCCACTTGTCCATTCCTCCACCAGTGGATTTGTGTCTATGTTAGGGCAGAAATGGTTATTGTTAAAAACAACAACAACAGAAACACTACAGTTATGCTACTGTTTGTCTCGTATCTAACAAGACTGAAAATATGAATATTAAATTTGCATTACGTGTAGTTTTAAAAACAGAATTGAATTTTATTCAGAACGTCTGTCTCTCTCACTCTCCCTTTTAATATCATGACTTTCAGTTCTCTCAACGGTTCTGTAACTTGTATTATATATAATATTTGAGCTAAATCTACAGTGAACATACAGCATGAGCAGTGTAGTCCGGTTTTCAAATTACCCAGCCATCTGTCCCGGAATAATTCAGTTCCTCATAATTCTCTTGCCTAACGAATTGTAAGGTGTTAATTTTTAGAGGAATTCTGAGTATACATCGCTGTTCATGGTTGGTACAAACTTTTTTTGGTGAAAAGTCAATTATCAACAAGGCTGAATTTATTTGATCAAAAATAGAGTAAAACAGATATATTATGAAATATGTTTTATAATTTACATTACTTTCTGTTTTAATATAATTTAATATATAATTTATTCTTGTGGTGACAAAGCTGGAAGACTGGCAAAGCCATTACTCCAGTCTTCAGTGTCACATGATACTTCAAAATCAGTCTAATATACTGATTTGCTGCTCAAGAAACATTTCTTATTATTATCAATGAACCGTAGATAACTGTTACTATCACTTTTCAATTTCAAAGTATTATTTTTTTTTTAAAGAATATCTTGCACCAACATTTTTCTTTCTTCCTTTGCATCTCTTGTCTGTTTTTTAAAGAGTTTAGTGTAACTGCTGCTCCATGGGGAGGGTGGGGTGCTTTGGGAAACCAGATCCATTGCTATGTGTTGGCGGACGTCTACAGTGTCTGGTTTTTATTTGCTGCATTGTCTGTGTGTAAGTCTGACATAACCAGAGAGGGTTTATTAAAAATAAAAGAAAAAGAAGGAGAGACTGAAGAAATAAAAAAGGGAGATTTTGCTTTTGTGTTGGAAATAGAAAGGAGTATGCCGCCATGCCATCTTCTTTCTGTTTACCTACTCTCTCACTTCTCTTCTCCTTTCTTTTCCTCTGGGCATCTGTGAGACATCCCTCTGATCTGGCCTTGTGTTTTATCTGAGGAATGCTCTGTCAGGTATCACAGCGCTGCTGGTATCAGGACAGGGATTATGCTGGCTCCCGCAGAGGATGAGCTCAAAGCTCCCAGCATTCACTGCTGCTCGCTTCTGCCACCACCTCTGAGAAATAAAGACATTTTGAAAGGACTTGGTCCTCCATCAGGTCTTTGGTCAAACCAAGTCCTGTTCACAACAACACAAATGTTTGGCACAAAACTTCAGTCTAATTTCTGAATGCGGTTTGTCTGTTCAGACCAACGGGCTGAATGAAAATGCAAATTCACTCTCTGACAGTAGGTGGTGAATATAGGCAAGCAGTTGTTGTTGACAATCCAAAAGTTGTATTTCTGCTTGCCACAGAGAAGAAAGTCAAACATTATTCACGTTTTCAAACAGCCATCCAGATTTTTGGATTTGCTATGGTGTTTATGGTTTATTGTACACTGTAAAAAAAAAAAAAACTCAATTCATTATAAATTTTTTTTTTAGCATGTTTTTTTTGTTTTACTTACTCCCAAAAGTTGAGGTAACTTAAAATATTGTCTATTCAAATAAATTGGACAAATAAATTGGAAAAACGCAGTAAATTAAGTTTACTTGACTAAAATAAAAAAACTGCTTTTTTAAACAGTTTTTTAAACGGTTTATGCAGGTTCCATATTCTCCCCCTGCTATTTACTGTCGCTTAGTCATAGTTTTATCTAACAGCAGCATCTCTGAACATGTGACCAAAAGTGTCAGTCTTATTGGTTGGTCAGTTCTATCGTAGTGCGATGGAAAATAAATTAGAAAACCTCTCTGTAAAAAGAAATTCTGTATTATTGACGGAATGTAAATGGATGCATTAACATCCATTGATTCAGATTAAATGTAGGTGCCAGGTTTGGGTTGATGTCTTTTATTTTGAAATTTTTACTTTCAGTTTGTTACGTCACTTGGTTTAGGACAGGTGTATATTACCTGTTAGTTTGCGTGTGGTTAGCATGTAGGAAGGGGGTGAGTAGCTGGGACGCTCACTTTCTGTTGACCGTTTTCATTTAATTTTTATTTTCATTTAATTGCTTTATGCTTACTTTACTGTCCTCATTCATCATGTTTCTGTCAGTTTCAATGTTGCAATAAACCACCGGATTCGCAGTGGAAACGCATGAACTTTATTCCCTCTACTCAGCCTCTTAGCGGTTACTGGCTGCCGCTATACCGAATTCTCCACTGAGTATTTGTTTTGGTGTGAACAAGCCTTTACTCATACTTTTTTTTAACACCAATTCAGTTAATAAATTTGGTCTAATTCGACACCTATGTTCCTTTTTCCATTCTTTTGCTTTTTTTCAACATCAGTATTTTAGATTCAAAATAATTTAAATTGATCTGAACGTACAGTATGTGTGTGTTTTAGGTGCTGTGGCTTGCTTGCAACTTTTTGCTAAGAATTCACTTTAAATAGTACTAAGATGAAAAATTACATTTACAGTTATTAAATCTGTGTGCATAATAAAATAATGATCAAAACGCTGCTTAAAATTATTTTAAATGTAGTATAATGTCACATAGGACATGTCAACTTCCCATTTTCCAGAGTGTTCAGTTTAGTTCATCTTTTAAAATTTCCCAAGGGCAATTGGGTTGCAGCATACAAGCATAAAACAATCCCATACAAACAATCCCAACATATTAAACACATAAGATGTTCACACACACAAAAAAAAGAAAATAATGAAAAGCCAGAGGGGAGGAGGTGAAACTCATGGTGCATGGGGTGAGAATCATCTAACAATATACTATAGGCTTTTCCCAACACCTGCCTTTGATCCAACTGGGCCATACTCATCTGCTTCTTCCCAATTATTTTACTCCAGAGTGGAAGGGAAAGTCTTATCTCCTCTTAGGATTCCCCCCAGCGGAGAGGTGCCGAATTATCTGGATGACTCCAGATCTGAGTCTGCTGTTCTCCAAGTCCATTTAGACACTTTCCCTCTTCAACGCACACACTCACTTGTCCTGTCCTCCATTCATTTTCGCTTCTCTCTCTTTTTACAGCTCTCTCTATATCATTTTGAGTCATGCTTTTTTTTTGTCTCATTTCATTGATATGACTATTTTGAGATGTTCGGGGCTCTTGTTTGGGACTCTTCCACCACACATATAATTCAAACCCAGAGCGATGAATTCTCCCGCTGTTCCCTTTACTGAAGTGTGATTAGTGTTGCTGCATTTAACTCCATTCATACTATGTACTGTACACAGAGCTTCACTGAAGTTATACTCTGTGCCGGCATGCATGCATGCTTGCTTAACAGAATGTATGTCGGAACACCCAGGGTGGTGTGATTGAATCCCTGGGGATTTACGAGTGTTATATATGGAAAAAATACAGGGTCTCCCAGATAAAACAGGACTGGGGTCAAGGGTAAAAGAGACGTTAAATTTATTTACTATCAACGGCATCCTGATTTCACCATACGTCTTTCTTACCCCGCTTTTGTTTTGACATGAAGTCTGCAAATATTTGCTGATAGGATCCAGAAACCAGTGAATGGTGTCATAATGACTTGTTGGACAAAATTTGATTTACACGTCACCAAATAAATATGGGCGGAGAAAGGGTTAGGATGTCACAGAGATAGCGAAATTACTGATGTTCTTGACAACAGTTTTTTTTTTTTTTCAACTATAAACATTTGATGAAAAATTAAGATAATTAAATATTTTAATTAAAACTTACACTTTCAAGGTAATCCAGTTATAACTAGATTGTCACCACATTGGATGTATAACTAACATGGTTATTTATTTATTTGTTTATTTATATTTGGCTAAGATATGCCATTTCAGTTATAGTAAAATGAATATGACAATGGAATACTGACAAAATGTAGAAGTCTTGTCTGTTTTTATCTATTACATGAAGCTGATATTTCTGGTATCATCTTTGTAGCCTAACCTCCAAAGATGACACCAAAGGAATTTTTTTTTTTTTTCTTTGTCGGTGTTACCGTAAGGCTTTTATTTGCCTTAACAATAAAACAACACAGTATTAAGCTTACAACCTGCAGTGCTAATTTAAAGCAGCATTTTATTTTATTTCTGCGTGAGGAAGCTGCTTGTTCAGCCCTTGTTGAACATCAGCACAAAATGTCGATTCATGTCCAGTAAGATCAGGTTCTCGCACACATTTCCTCACACCCAATCTCACATTCGTGCAGATTACGGGAAACATGCTGTTTACATGTCGTTTCCAAGAGTGTTGGTTAAAACTGCTAAATAATTCAGCATCTGGAATCCAAACTCTATGGACGCTGGTCAGCACTGGCCTCTCGTCTGGTGGTATACACCTGGCAGCTCTGATTAATTGACAGCAGTAGTGAGTTGGGGCTAAGTGTGGCTAATGGTGTGCTGAATAATTTAAAACCTGCGCCTTTGAGCAGATGGATCTGCAGCCGCTCACCCCCCCCCCCCCCCCCACCGTCAGCAGCCGTCCACCCCCACCATCCCACCAGCGGTCAGCGCTAAACATGCACTTGAGAGAGAACAGGAATGCGCTTTAATAGAGTTTTTGGAACAGTGAACTGTTGTACAGCAAATGCTGATGTCATGAGCATGATACCGCGAGCCTTCCAGTTTACAAATTCCTCTTTCGTTTTCTTGGACTGGCTATTTTCAAGTCAAGGAGACATTAGAAGTGTAGAAATGGTGTGAGAACTCTCATTCCTGTGCTTTAACTTCTAGGCAACTTCCAGCGGGACGTTTGAAGCAGTCTGTCCTAGACTGCTCTTATCTGATGCTAGCGTGCCTCCTCTGTCTGTAGCGTCTCTCTGGATGTGTTCTGGAGAGGAGCTGGTGACTGCGTAGCATTACCCCTTCTGTCAGCACTGATAAACTGAACACTAGCCGCTGTGAAAGGCCAGAGCACTGTCAGGGCTTTCAGCTGATATGAACCATTTTCATTTTTACCTCTTGACAATGTAGAGAGCAACAGAGAGCCGTGACATCATTATGAAAGCTTTTAAATACTGATGCGTTCTTTGTATTATAAATTAGTGTTACCGTGGTTACTTAAGTTTCCACCCTGGTTTACATCAACATGCATTCTTTTCTTTAATGAGACTTTTCATTTTTTAACTAAATAATTTGTCAGAGGAGGTACAGTAGTTAAATCTTTGGACACATCTATTATTTATGATTACTTTAACATTTTTGAATAATTGTGAATCATCAAAACGACATGTGTTATATCACAAATGACAAACAAATCAAAACCATTTCATATTTTAGCCTAGAGACACTCTCTCAACCAGCCTCATGTGAAGAAACCTGGGTCGTATAGGCCCATCTAATGTCTTGAAGGTTCCTATGTATGCTAGTTACTTGTTGGCTGATTTCCTTCACTCTCTTACCCACATAAAACAATACATGCATTTAAAAAAATAACCGGTAAATATTTTTTTGACTTACGAATTCCCAATGTCAAATCCAAAATAAATGACTGAATTGTGAACACACAATGTTTGCAATTGCGCACCTAAAAAAATGTTGTTGTTTTTTTCACGCTTCTCTTGTAATGCATTCTAATTTGTTTGCTATTACGTCCTTGATACTTGCATTGTTTGGATGTGTGCGTATGTTGTGCATAGCTAAAACATTACAAGACAATCTAGTATGCAATAGGGCAACAACCGTATATGTCCAAGTAAACAACTTTGTTAATTTAAAAATCATGTCCAGCCAATTGGTAAACGGCAGGATGAGGAGCACGATAGATATCCTTATAGATAGATAGCCACGATAGCCTTCCGATAGAATCACTTCACCTGCAAAAGAGGCATAAATTTAGACCCGAATGGAAATGGAAATGTCCATAACTAAGATACCAGAATGCTTGCTCCCACTATGTACGTTTGGGACGAAAGAACGCTTTCCAATAACAAATTCCATGACTGCCCCTTGTTGTTTTGGAAAGCATGGAAAAGCAATTATAATAAATGAGCTTCTATGTTACATTTGACTTTTTTTTTTGTTATTATTAAATCACATATACAGTACTATGCATAGTTCAAAACAACTCAATGTCTGAATATTTTTCGCAATTGCACACCTAATAAATAGGGTTTCTGGCTGCACTTTTTTCACGTTTCTCTTGTAACATGCTCTAATATCTCAGTGGAAACTCCGGTCCATATGAGAATCATATCAAAATATAACTGAATATTATACATGTCTAGAAAACTAATTTCAAGCATTTAAGGATAAATAATAGTCAGTCAAGTGTGTCCAAATGTTTGACTGGGGCTGTGTGCACACACCACAACTTTTAGGATGAACCTGTAGTTTGTATTATTTTAACCTGTATTATTCAGTCTTCACCTAACCGCAAATCAACTTGTTTATGGGATCATCACAAGATATGACACTGTACTTCGACAAGCAGTTGCTACTAGAACATAACACACCGCCAACTTTAATCAATCACAAAGTTTAGAGCTCTGAGTGACAGGAGCTGGGAGGCCATTGATTGGTCGGAAGATAGATGCTGCCATTATGGAATATTCTATGTCAGGGAAACAGGGCTCTAATTACACTAACACGGTAAATGGGCTTCTTGTGTTGTGTGAGCTGGGCGGCTTTTTATACTAAATCACATTATGTGCGGCATATTTAGCCGACATCATCAGTCTCATCGTTACAGGGCCGGCGATGGAACGAGCTAATGGTTTTTTGACTGAGTACTTGATTCCCTTGCTCTGTGTATTTACCAGAGCAGAGTCTATTTTCCACTGCTGTTTGTGAGACATTAAAAAAGACTAATCTAAGGATCAAATTCTTTAAAACTATTCCATTCTACCCACAAAAAATAATTTTAAAATAATATATACATTACTGTTCAAAAGTTAGAGGTTGTTAACATTTTTTTTTTACTGTTTTTGAAAGAAGTCTTTAATGCTCACCAAGGCGGCATTTATTTGATTATTTTATTGACAGTAAAGGATTTTTTGGTGTATAGAAAGTTCAAAAGAACAGCATTTATTTGAAATGGCAATCTTTTGTCTTCTTTCACAGGAGTGTTGTTGTTGCACCCAAGAAAGCGGGCGGGGCTCCCTCACCAGGAATGAGCACAGTCTCCACAGCCGCATCCGTCCCATCAGCCACTGCTGCATCCTCAGGTGGAACTCCAGTCGACAGTGTGTCGGTGGTGTCCGCAGGAGATACTGTTCAAAGCACAGAGTCCGCCCCAGGTGAGTTGGGACGTCTTCATGAATGATCATGTCTACACTGTTACCTACACATTACCCAAGTGCTGTTTCCTCAGTTATAGAAATTCATATCTCAATCCCAGTATAAGATATTAATATGAATCAGTCCTGTGTTCTGTCCTTTACAATCACTGTACTGTATATTACAATTAATCAGACCTGAGATTATAACCCAACTACTAATTTAGTCGTTTTAACGATTTAAAGATTTAAAACCAGATTTTCTTTTTTCTTTTTTTGGATGGTTTTGTGATATCTGGAAAGTTTCTAGAGCAATACAAATCCTCTATAAATATAAATATAAATATAAATATACACTACAGTTCAAGAGAAGTCTTATGCTCACCAAGCATTTATTTCATCAAAATACAGTAAAACCGGTAATATTGTGAAATATTGTTGTTACAATTTAAAATAACTGTTTTAATTGGTAACCCTTCATAATAAGGTTCAATTTGTTATCATTAGTTAACATGAAGTAAGAATGAAAAATGCTTTTACATTTTTTTTTATTAATCTTAGCTGATGATAATTTCAACATTTACTAATACAGTACATTGTTAAAATCAAAAGTTGTATCTGTTCATATTATTTCATGGACCTGAGCTAACATGGACTAACAACAAACAGTTATATTTTTATTAACTAAAGCTAACAAAGATTAATAAATGTATTGCTCATTGTTAGTTAATGCATTGAATGATTTAAAAAAAACAGCCCTCACAGATTTAGTTAAACCAACTTAAGGTCATCTGAAGTGGTCTTCACAATTTAAAATCCTGATACATTGTCCAAATCATGTTTTTCAGTAAATCTAATCATATCAACAAATTTGTGGGATGATTAGAGGTTGGATTTGAATTGTAGTCAATGTCATCACCTCTGTCTAAAACCATTGCATCTATGTCCTTTCTAATATAGTGAAATCAACATCTGCATGCACACATGATCCTTTGTGCATGAAGGGATTGTTTTTAGCTCCCTTTTGCTTTTCTTGTCTTTGAACTAGTGTACTCATGGGTCTATATCTCATGCTTGAGGTTGTAAGCTTGTCTGTGTCTTTATGGTTCTCATGTGTATGTGTGTGCGAGGATAGGGGCAGGTCCCAGCTGAATAGTGATAAGCTAATTTTCTCCGGGCTGTTTGAAGTGGCTACTTCATCTCCGCACAAGCACATGTTGGTGCTTAAAGAGCCGCTGTCCCCACAGCCAGAAACATTCCACGATGCTGCCTGTCATCCTGCTAGAGTTATCCCTGCCCTGAGACCCCACGTGTGTGTGTGTGTGTGTGTGTGTGTGTGTGTGTGTGTGTGTGTGTGTGTGTGTGTGTGTGTAGAGATATTAGTGCATGCAGATTTATTGTGGTGTGATATCCTGTGAGAGAAAGGGTGATCGTGCCAAGACCTTTACTAGCCCAAAATGTGACAGTTGCAGGGCAAGATTAAATTTATTGACATATAATTACTCGTACACTAATCACAGCCACACACAGGGCTAATGAATTTATGGGCTGTTTTATCAGGGGGAGTGTAAGAGCTGCTCTAATGCTTATTTTACATGAATGCTAACCAAAGCAGAGCAATCATTCAGCTAAAGCTCATTTCACATGGTTTCAGGGCTTCAACGCACATCTTCACTCTTGTCCTTTATATGACTGTGTAGATAGCTTCAGGAAAGGGGACTTTTACTAGGTTGTTAGTTGGGCTGGACAATATGAAAATTGTCAGTACATTCACAATGATTTTGCTTAAGTTGTTCTATAAAGTTGCTATATAAAGTGTTTTTGCTATATAAACTTCAGTAGCCTAAATGGTATTAGATGTTTGCTGAGCTTATTTCTAAGGTCATGATCATAGACTGTAAAAAATATGGACAAAGCGTCTGTGACGTCACCCAGAGACTTTCTGAAGAATGGTTTTGAGGCCGTTTATGGGGGGTATGGGCGGCGCCATCTTTTGAAAATCTTGGGAAATCCTAACCCCGCCCACCTTCTGGCCAATCCATATATGGGTAAAAGGGCGGGCTTTGTGTGAGACTGAGCCGGCCGGTGGACGCGCCTCTTCAACCAAGCAGCCTCAGCTATCTGTAACGTTACAAGATCGACTGGCGGCAGACTAGGGCTAGGCTACTTTTTACAGCCAGTATCATTCTTATGTTGAAACTCCTTTTCCTCGATTTACTGAAGCCTATATGTAAAATGCATTTGCAGCTGCATAGCTCGCTCATAGACTGTGCTGCGGCACCTGCACATCCAATGGCGCGGGCGCCTCTGACGTGCGACCAACTAACTTAGCTCGCAGATCAGTCTATTCTTATGTTACATTTATACATTTGGCAGACGCATTTACAGTGTTTCAAACGTCAGTTATAACCATAGGTAAAGTACCTCGGACGCTAACTTATCTGAGGCGATTTAATGCTAACTGTTGCAGTGTCACTGCCCACAAACATTGATGCTAAATAGTGCCAACTATGTGAAATAGTAGTGTAATGTCACTTACCGGAAAAAAAGGAGCGAAGTACTCCTAGTCCAACAGTCTCAGTAAGTGCAGTTTATAGCAGAGCAACCCATGTTATGTACGATATTTCAATACAAATGTTCAGAAAGGATACAGAGGTGATATGATGTGTTGTGTCAGATCATGGCCGAGACGTCAAATTTCCAGTAGCACCTCAATGCAGTACATAAGATCCACGGGGAGGAGTCGGATCAAGATCCAAGGGGTGGAGATGGGTAGGATTAAGGGTGGGTTTAGGGATTAGGGGTGTGTTTAGGGATCAGGGGGTGGAGATGGGTAGGTTTAGGTAAGGTGGGAGGAGTTGGATCTGGATCCGACTCCTCCCCGTGGATTTCATGTTCTGCAGTGAGGACCATCTCCAAATTTCAGGAATTCCACTCGACGCAGCCCGTTATCAGCTGTCAATCAAGCTGTCAATCAAAGTTAACCACGCCCTTATTTGTCATACATTTTATATCTAAATACGATCTCTAAACTAACGAGTTAGAAAAAAATTCACCCCCCTCACAGTTGTCAGGCACTCAGAACCTATCGAAAAATACAATAAAAGTCCATGGGACCAACCTGTAAAAACATGAATTTATTAATGCTGTGAAAACGGACATTTTAACATGGGGGTCTATGGATATTTGCTCCCTTTTGGGACCTCCCTATAGCGGATTTTCGATGTATTGCAGTTTTTCGCACTTCCGGGTAGGCTTCATTTTTTCAGATTAGAATGTTGCCGCTTGGTCATGATTCATGATTCAACTCTGATTGATCTCATTTGAACTCTGATATCATGTGCATTATCACTCAGAAAATGTTAAATTTAAATACCCTTCAAAAGGTTTTTATTTTATTTATTTTTTAAGAAGTCTCAGACTCGTCAAAGTTGCATTTATCTGATTCCCGTATTCCCGTAATGGGAAAGCTGAATTTTCAGCAGCCTTAACTTCAATCTTCAGTGTCACATGATCTTTCAAAAAACCATTCTAATGGAGATTTGGTGCTCAATAAACATTTTTAATTGTTATCAATGTTGTTTTTGCTGCTTAATACTTTTGCAGAAACCTTTATACATTTCCCCCCCAGATTCCTTGATGAGTAGAAAGTTCAAAAGAACAGGATTTAACTGAAATAGTAATTTTTTGTAACATTATAAATGTTGCTTTTGATCAATGTAATGCATTCTTGTTGTTATTGTGTGCTTTAAAAAAAAGAAACTTTAGATTTACTTTTATTCTTAGATTTTACTGTATTTCTACTGCAATTGGCTAAAGTAGCATATAGTATATAATAATAATAATAATAATAAATAAATGTCAAAACGATTATCTGTCTGTCATATCACCCAGCTTTAAAGGTCCCGTTCTTCATGTTTTTTTTTTAGCTTTGATTGTGTTTACAGTGTGCAATATAACATGTGTTCATGTTTCGCGTGTAAAAAAACACAGTATTTTTCACACAATTTACTTATCTGTATACCGCTGTTTTCACTGTCCAAAAAACGGCCCGATGACTTCCTTGTTCTATGAAGTCCCTCCTTCAGAAATACGTAACGAGTTCTGTTTGTGCCAGCGGTTCCTGTGTTGTGATTCGACAGCAGCTTATCGCACGTTGCCCGGAAAGGTCACGCCTCTTACCATAAATTGGAGATGCATGCGCAGCTGAAGTGCTTCTCCGTGGGAGCGCAACAAGACCACGCCCCCTTTTTTGTGTATTCCCGTGGGCGGAGATTAGTCAAAAAACTGTTCTAGTTATGTCATTAAAAAAGGAAGTAGAGGGATGTAGTCCAAACCGGCCGTTCGCTCTATGCTTTGAAAGGGAACTTCTGTTAAATAAAATATCTCGCTAGGCATTGAACTTTGAGCTTTATAATTTTACAGGTATTATTTATGCTCTAACAGCAACATTACACACTAACTAAAGTTTGAAAAATGCAATCGCAAAGAACGGGACCTTTAATCTGTAGAATTAGTGAAGATTTATTCATGGAAGATGTGCTTGTCTAGCTTATTGGATCCCTGTATTGTTTAGTGTGTATGTATTTGTAATGAGTATTTTACTGGCTGTACTCTCTGCAGGAGGAACCTCCACGAGCTCCAACCTGCCATCTGTCCCTGCCTTACCCCCAGTGACCCAGAGCTCCGCCCCCAGCATGAGGTCTTTTTTTTTCCGTTTTTCTCCAGAAATACATATTTGATTTGATATTTCTCTGGTATTTCACAGTCTGTTCACTTTTTTAAAGTGTGTTTGTGTATGTGTTTTAGCATCTCAGAGAGATTGGAACATGCTCTGGAGAAGGCAGCTCCTTTACTCCGAGAGATTTTTGTGGATTTCGCACCGTTCCTCTCTCGCACACTGCTGGGCAGTCACGGACAGGAGCTACTCATCGAGGGCACCAGTGAGCTACTCTTCTGCTCTTATTACTGATATTTGCAGAATATTTCACACAAATGCATCTCAAAGTTGTATTAATAGTTTCAGTACCACTAAAGGCCTGCACTCTTGTTACGGTTTGAAGTGAGGTTCACAACACCACATACAAACACAGAGAGATCTCATCACTCCCAATATATTAAAACAACACCTACCTCTCTCACCTCTAACCAAATTTAAGCTGTAAATGGGGGCTGAAAGTATCTTTTAACTCACTGATTATAATAGCAGTGTTCATTTATAGAGCACAGGGTCAGAGGTCAGCACACTCATACGATGTGTTTGGACTGTCCACTGCCACCCAGAGAAATGAAATGCTGATTAATAGCTGTAGGGTGACTTTAGAGAGCCAATTCAAACAAAAATGCTTCCTTCCTTCCTCTTCCTCCAGCTTCCTGTTTGTTCTCACCTTTAGCTTTCATGTTAAATCTCTCTTTCTCGTGTATGTAGTTCTTTAAAGCTGTATTTCAGATCAATAGAACATATGCTCACCATATTTAGTCTCATGTAATACAAGCTCAAACGTGTATTAGTTTACAGTAGCATCATGTAGGTTCATTAAGTTCATCAATACTCTTTGACCCCGCAAGATGGTGCAGAATTAGGCCACTCACAAATGTTCATGTCAGCAAAATAGTCACTGGTGAGAAGAATTAAATATTTTTATTGGCAAAAAAATAAATAAAACATTTCCCGTAATAGTACTTGATTAGAAATTAGAAATCATATAGAACTGAATAATTTTTTTTTTAAATTATTAGCAGTCTTTTTACAGTGGCATGCAATTATCACTATATTCTTGATTATTATCTTGGTCAGTTGCAGTATTTAGCCATCAAATATTTCTGAATAATAACCATTGCCCATGGCAGCAGTGTATAACTAACCACTCATCTTAGAAACTTGTATTCTGTCCCTCCTTCAATATCCATGCGTTTATTTGTAGTTGATTAATAAGCTTACTGTACTGATTAATAAGGATACTGTACCATTAGATAGTCGTCATCCTCCTGTGTCAGGGTTGAGGTCACCCTGTTGTGGTTTATTTTGTGATAATGACTGGCTGACGTTATTCCACACTCAGCACTCAAGTCTAAAATATACTGAAACCTACTGTATAAGAAAAATACATCTCTGGCTATAATACTAAAATTACTGAGACCACAGGAGGACTGCTATGGGATCAATAAAACATATTTGTTCCAAAATATTCAACATTAATGGTTAAAAGTTTTGCCTACTGAAACTAAAAAATGAAATGTTTTTTTTTTGCAGGTCTTGTGTGTATGAAGTCCAGCAGTTCTGTGGTTGAACTGGTCATGCTGCTGTGTTCCCAGGTAAGTCATTCCACCATCTCTCCTCAAGGTTTTTCCACCTTCCCCTCTCTGTCTTTCTCTTTACTGTTAATAAATGCATCGTTGCAGTGTTATCTTCACACTGCCAGCCCGAATCCTGTCTTACTAAGCTCTCAGTATAGACAAAAGTCCAGAAAAATGGCCACAGTGCCCTTCTTAATGCTGTTGATGTGAGTTCAAAGGTCAGGGGTCTTGACCCAGTGTAACGGTCTTGGTCATATAGCCAGTCACAGAGGATAATGCAACATTGATAGTGTTTTGTGATCGATCTGCCTCCCCATCGGGTTTTTTAAGGCAGGTAGGATGAAGGATTGATAGCAGAGCTCTGTTTGAATCGTTTGTGTTTTTGTCCCAAAATGATCTGAATCCTCCCTTTGGAGATATTCGAAGACATTCGTACTTCAGGAAAATGTATTTATAAATAAATACAATTGTGTATATATTAGGGGTTACACAGACTAGTTGACTTTAATGCTCTGCCACGACTAGTCGCTGGTCATGGCGCAACAGGATAAGAAATCTTTAAGTCCACTTTTACGCTCCATTTCCACCAGTTACAATGACAAATAAATGCATACTCCGAGAGTACTACACAAGATATGTTTGATTATAACATCTGGATGCTCAAAATTGATCGGGTGAATGCACGTTTTAAACAGCTTATTGTACACACGTTAATCGCCTTTCTAAACTAATGAGCTTCTGCATTGTAACACACACATAGACAGTAGCTCGCACATCATGTGCTGATCGCGCGCACACAAACATTCAGTAGCGCCGAAATGTATTGTCAACACCGTTCTGTGATTTATCAATAAAATAGCTTAAAATCTGAAAAGTTCTAGCATTTAGGCATATTTCTTAAAAACTAAAACCCACAGCTTCACTTGTTGGTGCATTTGTCAGTCTTTATTAGGAGGAAATCAGTGATGTGGTTATAGAATTGTGTTTGTGGTGAGAGATTGAGCATGTGTGCATAATATGCACCGCATTGAGTGTTTGTGATTGGGGCTAATGGAGGAAGCCATAGGGTGCCCTTAGAGGAGGAGAGTCACTGAAGTGTGTGATACTCTATACACACACACACACACAGACACTCAGACACATATAGACACACATACACTCACATTAAGCCAGGGCTACTACAGATTTTCAGTGACTATCATTTTGCTTGAGTAAAGAGATTGTTGAATTATTCAGTATTAGCAAGGTGAGAATGTATCGTGGTGTTCACAGTAGCACACATACACAAGCACTCCTTGTATCTTTTTTTTATTGCTTTTATTTTCAGAAATAAAGCATTTCTCGTCCTCCTATAACCCTCCCTAAAGGTAATCCAGAGAGATCAGGCATCAGGCGGGGCGTCAGGGGCCGCATATATTTGCAGAAGTGAGGCGTGAGGTAGGGGTCCCTCCGTGAACCCAAGCATCTAGAAAAGAGGGAATAAATGACACGCTCTAATGCACCTATTTGTCATATCTGTCACGCTGTTGTGTAATGCTAATCTAATCAAAGGGGAGAATTTGGGTTCTGCCTGCCTCCACTGAAAAAAAGCCTCCGGCCCAAAACCCGTTCCAGTGGCGGCGCGTTGCAGGCCATGTGCTGCAATGAAAGGGCTGCGTTGCTGCTGATTACTTCAATAAATCATCTGAACTAAATTCTTTCAAAGCTGATGCAAATGTACTTTTATTGTGGGGGAGAAATGGTGGGAAAAGGCGGCAAAGCTCAAATGAGGTTGTGAGCCCTGTTTACCCCACAGGTAATTACACAGTCTTTTGTAGGGGGATAATTTTGTTTTATGAACGTGGCAGATTTTTTTCTTTCTCTTATTTGGAAGAAGAATCAAGAGGAACTTTAGGGTCTCTGATTGATCCTATGTTTAATCAGGACATGACATCCCTGCACAGGAAGTGCTGTTGTTGTAGACAGGAAGTAAAGCAGTCCTTTTGTTGACTGAATAGGCAATGAGAAAGGGAGGATGTTGATGGATTCGTTTTCTTTTGCTTACATTTCCTTCTTATCCCAAAATAGAAACCAGCCGGATGTGGTACCGTCTGCACAAATTTTCTAATTAATATCTATGGTACAAGATGGAGTGGGTTTGGGGCTAGAGGTCAAAGGTTGGGGTCACAGACTAGTTTTTAATCACTCAGGATCAGGAGGGTTGCTCTTCTGTTAGACAGCGATTCTTAACTGCAATTTTATTGCATCTCTCTAAAATGAATCCCTTTATTCTCAACACAGGATCAATTTTCATCATCTTCTATAAGCCTGTTGTGGTTTATTGCTTTTCACTTGTGTGTTATTGATAGTTGTTATATAAAGCTGTATTAAACATGCGACTTTTAATTGATTTTTTTTTTTATTGTAATTTTTTCCATTCTTTCAGCCCTTTGTTCTTTTATAGGCATGTGAAAGTATCTGATTCTGCTAACAAACCACAACTGACTCTAATGAATAAGTGTTGACATCCTCGTTATATCTGTATTATTGTTCTGGTAATGCTTATAATAATTTGTATGTATGTGTGTGCGTGTATATATAGGCTATATATATGTATATGTATTGATTAGATCTAGCATATTATCTGAAATCCTCTAATAATACTGTAATATACACTCACCGGCCACTTTATTAGGTACACCTGTCCAACTGCTCGTTAACACTTAATTTCTAAGCAGCACATGGCGTCAACTCTGCATTTAGGCATGTAGACATGGTCAAGACAATCTTCTGCAGTTCAAACCGAGCATCAGTATGGGGAAGAAAGTTGATTTGAGTGACTTTGAACGTGGCATGATTGTTGGTGCCAGAAGGGCTGGTCTGAGTATTTCAGAAACTGCTAATCTACTGGGATTTTCACGCACAACCATCTCTAGGGTTTACAGAGAATGGTCCGAAAAAGAAAAAACATCCAGTGAGCGGCAGTTCTGTGGGCGGAAATGCCTTGTTGATGCCAGAGGTCAGAGGAGAATGGCCAGACTGGTTCGAGCTGATAGAAGGGCAACAGTGACTGAAATAACCACTCGTTACAACCGAGGTATGCAGCAAAGCATTTGTGAAGCCACAACACGCACAACCTTGAGGCGGATGGGCTACAACAGCAGAAGACTCCACCGGGTACCACTCATCTCCACTACAAATAAGAAAAAGAGGCTACAATTTGCAAGAGCTCACCAAAATTGGACTGTTGAAGACTGGAAAAATGTTGCCTGGTCTGATGAGTCTCGATTTCTGTTGAGACATTCAGATGTTAGAGTCAGAATTTGGCGTAAACAGAATGAGAACATGGAACCATCATGCCTTGTTACCACTGTGCAGGCTGGTGGTGGTGGTGTAATGGTGTGGGGGATGTTTTCCTGGCACACTTTAGGCCCCTTAGTGCCAATTGGGCATCGTTTAAATGCCACGGCCTACCTGAGCATTGTTTCTGACCATTTCCATCCCTTTATGGCCACCATGTACCCATCCTCTGATGGCTACTTCCACCATGTCACAAAGCTCTAATCATTTCAAATTGGTTTCTTGAACATGACAATGAGTTCACTGTACTAAAATGGCCTCCACAGTCACCAGATCTCAACCCAATAGAGCATCTTTGGGATGTGGTGGAACGGGAGATTCGCATCATGGATGTGCAGCCGACAAATCTGCGGCAACTGTGTGATGCCATCATGTCAATATGGACCAAACTCCCTGAGGAATGCTTCCAGCACCTTGTTGAATCTATGCCACGAAGAATTGAGGCAGTTCTGAAGGCAAAAGGGGGTCCAACCCGTTACTAGCATGGGGTACCTAATAAAGTGGCCGGTGAGTGTATATATATATATATATATATATATATATATATATATATATATATATATATATATATATGGATTATACTATAATGGATTATACTAAAATATTTTGCTTTCTTCTTATTAATGAATAATGTAAGCAATTAATTTTTGCCAGCATTTATTTTTCTGTCTGTCCTTTTGCTATTAAAAAGCAGGAGAAAAAGCAGCGAGAGTGTTTTTCAAACTCTAATGTTATTCCAATTAATCTTCAGGATTCAATACAAGTTCAGTCAGTGACATTTGTGGCATAATGTCAGTTAACAGAAAATCATTTTGATGTATTCCTTAGTTAAACATAAATAATAAGAATTTTGGAAAAAAACAAACCGGAATCATGGTTACAATAAGTGCTCAATGAAAAAAAAATGCAAGGCAATAAATGTTTATAGTCACAAGTGTAATATTGCAACAAGACTTGTGTTAACAATTAAATAAAGTAATAGAATCACTTAGTTTGCCACACCATTGTGTTTATTCGCATAGCACAGTAGTTCCACAACATCTTTAGAGCCGAAATAATACACATTTTTATGATTTAATTTATGTGAGAAAACTGCTTTAGTGGCTGTTCACGCCTCGTCTAAAAACGCGTGGAATTTGCTGGCTAAACTCTCTCCTCTTTTCAAAAGCTTGTACTCCTGGGGTGTCTGCCGTTGCTAAGTAATCATGAAGACGAAGAAGTTTCAGCAGAGCATAAATGGATTTTCAGCCCTTGCATTAACTCTACTACTAGTTAATATTTATGGAGATGGGAAATGAAAAACCCGCCAGCTGTACTATGATCAGATGTTCGTCCATCTTGGCTGAGGTTTCGATGTTGTTACGGAAAGGCCGAAGCTGATCAGTTGGTTCTTGTCACATGACCTGAGGTGCGCTTGCGGCATTCTGAAAAGTTGCAATTTTTTTCATCTCGCTGCTGTGTATATGCACCTGGGAAAAACAAGTGTCACAATGCATGAGCGTCGAGACGGCGTCACTCTCTATTTGAGCACTCTTGTCTACATTTAAAATAACTGACTTGAGTTGACAAATTGACAGTTTACCATGCATATTATTATTAGTAGTATTAATTATGAATCAATTATTTTGTGTGGTAAAATTATGCTACAAATGCTGTTGATTAAGCTCAAATTGCATTGA